AGCAGCCCCCAAATACACAGCACTTCCCCCCAAAAATAGCACCCAAACCCCTTCCTCACCCCAAAACCAAGCCCTGCAAACACACAAGCAGCCTCCCCAAAAAGCCAGCATCCCCAAAACAGCACCCCAAGAAAATCCAGCACCCCAAAAAACAAGCACCCCCAAAATACACAGCACTTCCCCCCAAAACTAGCACCCAAAATAAACCCTCAGCACCCCAAAGCCCAGCCCTGCAAACACACAAGCACCCCCCCCCAAAAGCCAGCACCCCAAAAACAATCACCCCCAGAAAATCCAGCACCCCGAAAAACAAGCACCCCCAAAATACCCGGCATGTCCCCCAAAAAATAGCACCCAAAAAAACCCCCCAGCACCCCAAAACCCAGCCCTGCAAACACACCAACACCCCCCAAAAAGCAGCACCCCAAAGGCCCAGCTCCCAAAACAACCCAGCATCCCAATAACCAGAACCCCAAAACCCAGCACCCTAAACACCCTGGCACCCTGAAAAAAGCACCCCAAAACCACAGCACCCCCAAAAAAACAGTCCTCCAGACCACCAGCACCCCAAAACACATGCACCCCAAACCTCAGCACCTCATCACACATGCACCCCAAACCTTAGCACCCCAGAACATCAGCACCCCCCAAAAACCAGTGCTCCAGACCACCAGCACCCCAAAACGCAGGCACCCCAAACCTCAGCAACCCAAACCTTAGCACCCCAAAACACATGCACCCCCAAACCAGTGCTCCAAACCCAGCCCTGCAAACACACCAACACCCCCCAAAAAGCAGCACCCCAAAGGCCCAGCTCCCAAAACAACCCAGCATCCCCGATCCCAGAACCCCAAAACCCAGCACCCTAAACACCCTGGCACCCTGAAAAAAGCACCCCGAAACCACAGCACCCCCAAAAAAACAGTCCTCCAGACCACCAGCACCCCAAAACGCACGCACCCCAAACCTCAGCACCCTAAAACACCTGCATGCCACAACCCAGCACCCCAAAACCCAGCTGTGGATCCCTTCCCTGGGCTGGCTACGGGGTCCTAGGGTGGCTCAGGGGGGGTGTGGGATCCCTGCTGGGCCCCCCACCCATTTCCCCCCCCC